CCGTTGCCGGACATGAAAAAAGACAAAAAAAAAAAAAAAAAAAGAAGTGCTGGCAAGAACAATCAGGCAAGAGAAAGTCAAACTGTCCCTATTTGCAGATGACATGATCCTACACAGAGAAAAACTAAAGATGTGGAGTATACTAACATGTTTAAAGCAAATGTATTTCACAGGGCTTAGTTTCCAAAGCCCTGTAGTTTCAGGTTTGACCTAACTTTTTAAAATTACATATAGAAATGTTAAGTTTGCAAAAGACAGGAAACATTCCCCAGGCTAAAGTCTCTGTTGTGGATATAGAATTGTAACACAGCAAAGTTTCTGGCTCAAGGACAGACATCCTTGAGAGCAGGTTAACCTGCTGATTAATATGTTAAGATGCTTTATTGTTATGTAAAAATACTGAGGAAACTGCTGTAGGAAAACACAGTATTTGCTAAGAACAGGCTTTTGTTGGTGGATCGACTTAACCTTTTGCAAATTGCATTATGGAATGTCACTTTGTTTTTTCACTGATGATACCAGCTTCTATTGTTAAACTATACTTAACCATAACTCCACCTATGTTCTTTTTCTGTAACTTTCTGGCCTGGAGAATAAATACTGAGACAGAACCCCAGTTCAGTGTTAATTTCCCAAAGGAGGAATGCCTCTCTCTTGAGAGCTCTGGGAAGTTAACCCCTTCGGGGTGTTTCACTGCTCAGAAGAAATGGGCTTTGAGTAATCCTTTTTGCATCTCCACCACCCCATGTGAGTTAAAGCAACAAAAAAAGACTCTACCAAAAATCTCTGAGAGCTGATTAACAATTTCAGTAATTTTGCAGGATACAAAATCAACATGTAAAAATCAGTGTTTTTATTCTCCAATAATGAACTAGCAGAAAAAGAAATCAAGAAAGTAAGCCCATTTACAAGAGTCACCAAAAAAATAAAATACCAAGGATTCAAGTTAACCCAGGAGGTGAAAGATCTCTACGAAGAGAATTACAAATCACTACTGAAAGAAATTAAAAACACAAAAAGATGGAAAGACATTCCATGCTCACGGATTGGAAGAATCAACATTGTGAAAATGTCCATACTCCCCAAAGTGATCTACAGATTCAATACAATCCCTATCAAAATAAAAATGACATTCTTCAAAGAAATAGAAAAAACAATGCTAACATTCCTATAGAACAACTAAAGACCCCAAATAGCCAAAGCAATCCTGAGCAAAAAAATAAAGCCAGAGGCATTACACCACCTGACCTCAAATTATACTACAAAGCTATAGTAACCAAAATAGCATGGTACTGACATAAAAATAGACACTCTGACCAATGGAACAGAATAGAGAAGCCAGGAATCAACCCACAGACTTACAGCCAACTGATCTTTGACAAAGGCACCAATATACATTGGCAAAAAGACTGCCACTTCAATAAACGGTGCTGGGAAAATTGGACATCCATATGCAGAAGAATGAAACTAGACCTGCAACTCTCACCACATACCAAAATCAAGTCAAAATAGTTTAAAGACTTAAGTATAAGACCTGAAACTATAAAACTACTAAAGGAAAACTTAGGGGAAACACTTCAGGAAGTAGGATTGGGCCAAGTCTTTGTGAACAGACCCTAAAAGCATGAACAACAAACAAAATAAATAAATAAATGGTGAACTCTTCTACACTTCTGGTGGGACTGTAAATTAGTACAGCCACTATAGAAAACATTATGGAGGTTTTTCAAACAACTACAGACAGACCTATCATATGATCCAGCAATCCCACTTCTCGGTATATACCCAAAGGAATGGAAATCATCATGTTGAAGGGACACCTGCACAACTATGTTCATCGCAGCTCTATTTACAATAAACAAGATATGGAACCAACCTAAATGTCCATAAATGGACAGTGGATAAGGAAAATGTGGTATATATACATAATGGAATACTACTGAGCCATAAAAAAGAATGAAATTCTGCTATTCACAGCAACATGGGTGAGCTTGGCAAAAATTATGTTAAGTGAAATAAGCCTGGCACAGAGGGCAAATACCGCATGTCCTCACTCATAAGTGGGAGCTAAGAGAGAAAGAAGGAAGAAAAGAAAAACCACAGTGGTGGTGGGTTGGACTTGCAGAGGGAGAGAACAGAACTAGGGTTGTGGGAGGTGGAGTCTGGAGAGAGGTTGGTTGGGGGACATGGGGAATAATTGCAATTTGAGGAGGTGGGCATGCTGATAGTATTGATCTGTTCACCACATCTTGAGCACAGGTGCTGACAGTCGGCTCTGTGCCCCATGAATATGTATAATCAATAAAAATAAATTTTAAGAAAAAAAAAGTCTGGAATAGGCAAAACTATAGGGACAGAAAACTGATGAGTAGTTGCAGGGTTGGGAGTGAGGGAAGGGTTAACTACAAAGATACTAGGGGATTTGGAGGGGATGATGAAGCTGTTCTATAATCTTGATCATGGTGATAATTACATAAGTGTATGCGTTTGTCAAAACTCATAGAACAGTACATTAAAAGGGTGAATTTTACCAAATGCCAATTACACCTCAATTTTAAATTAACATCTTTGTACCAATCTTTCTTATTCTCATACATTCTCATACAAGTTAGAATTGCTGAGTCAAAGAACACTTGCGTTTCAATTTATGGTAGTCTGCCAAATTGTCCTCCAAAAAGGTTTTACCAAATTACACTACCACCAACAGGTTATGATGAGATGAAGGTGGCTGTTTCCACCACACTGGCCTGGGGTCAATCTGATTGTCGTTAAAGCCTTTTCATCTTCGTCAATCTGACAGGTGTCAAAAGGCATCTGTAAGTTTGATTTACATTTCTTTAATTATGAGAGAAGTTGAATCTCTAGTCAAACGTTTACTGACCATCTTCTCATTTTTTTCTGTGGAATGTCTATTTGCATCCTTTGCCGTTTATGTTTAAACGGCTGGTGATGAGTTCTAGGTCTTGGTAGCTGCAAGGCACGGGTAGGTGGGAGTCCTTGGTTCCCGGACTTAATGTCGGGAACGTTTGCCGCCGGGTCCAGGAAATCTGGCAAAACAGTCTCCGCGGATATGAAGCCGTTGGGGATAAACGGCCGCTTCCCTCCCAGGCCTGGCCCCGCCCCTGCTGGGCCCGCCCCGCCCTCTCATTGGCCCAGCTCGCTCTCCCTGCCCGCCAGCCTGACACGCCTCCGCCCCGCCTCCTCATTGTACAGTCGCGCGGCGATCGAGCCCCGCCCCTCGTCTGTGCGGTTCCTCACCTTCCCGGCGAGGACTCAGGCGCTGGCCGCCAGTCCTCGGAACATGGACGGACGCAGAAGCGCGCCGCTGACGCTCGTAACGTCACCCACTTCTCCCCAAAGAGGAGGGGTCTTTCCCGCCACCTCAGCGTCTCTGGAAGTGGAAGAAGCCGTGGGTCCAAACCCTCATGCCTCCGGGAACGCCGTTCCCCTGGCAACCGGAAACACGACGCTCCCAGTCTCGCGATAGGAGAAAAGGGCTGTACCACCTGAAAAGGGACGTGGGGGCCAGAGGCGGCGAGGAAAACTGCCAGGGCGGCCCTGCTGTCTCCTTGCGTCATCGCGGCAGACGGAGGGGGTGGGGGAATGGTTTGTTCTGGATGCTAGTATGGCTTTGTCTCTCAGTGTTACTATGAGTCCCTGAGGGCCACCCACCCTCCCTGAGTTCAGTTTCCTCCTCTGTAAAATGGGGCTGATAATACCCTTCTCGCAAGAATGTCGTGTAGCTCAAAGAGATCTTATGTGAAGCTCTTTGTAAATTTTGGGTGCTATGTAAATCGAAAATACTAGTTTTGCACAGATTGGGCTGCAGTCCAAAAGGACTAATAATTGCTATTCGCACCTTCTTTTATTTCGTAATTTCTCCAATTATCAATGCATGAAGATTTCCCTGGGTCCCCAAACTGATTTTCTTCATTCCCACTCCCATCAAATTTCTGCTACTTTCCAGTCTGAATAGTTACTTTACAATTTACAGGGCATTTTCACATTCATGCCCCTTTGTCCTCATTGTTTTAAGTAGGTGGGATGTGTATTTTCAATGGAGAAAATAGGCATAGATTGCCCAGCGAACACAGCTAAAGTCTAGAGCAGTGCTGGGTGTAAAAAGCTTCTAGCTGTAAATACCATCCATATGCTGCTGAATCTCTGTCTCCAGCCCACACTTCTCCCCTGAACTCCAGACTCCTTTATCTAAATGCCTGTTTGGCATTTCCACTTACATGTGTAAGAAGCATCTCAAACTTAACATGTCGAAAAACAAACCACTTCTCCAGAGCCCCTCACCCCATCCTCTTCCTATCCATCTCAGAAAATGGTAACTCCATCCTGCCAGGCTCAGATCAAAAACCTTGGCTGAGAGAAGTCATCCTCTTCTTCTCACACTCTACAATCCATTTATTATAAATCTGATTAGCTCTACATTCAAAATATATCCAGAATCCAAACACTTCTCACGCCTTCAATGCTTTCATTCAGGCCAAGACGGCTGTCATCTCTCACCTAGATTTTTGCAATAACCGCCTAACTGTTGCTTCCCTTGCCCCTACTCCACTTCCAACACAGCAGCCTGAATGATGCTCTCAGAGAATGAGTCAAATCATGTCACTGCTCTGCTCAGGACTCTCGGTGATTCACCATTTCACTTAGAGTCCTTAGAATGCCCACACAGGTCCTGAATGACCAGGCTCTGTGTTACCTCTCTCGCCTCCAGTCCTACCACCTTCTGTCTGGTAAACATTGCTCTAGCCTCACTGTCCTCATTGTTAGTGGTTCTATGCAGGAATTTCTTCCCAGAATTTCTCAGGAAATTCATGTTTTTTCAAATCCCAAATTTAAAAAAAAAGTTAATAAATCAAGAAAATGGAAGAAGGAATTCTAATTCTATGAGAATTAAACCTTTGCAGTCAACATAGAGATGTCACTGAAGAAATCCGTTGATGTGAAATCAAAAACAAGAGCAGGAAATGCTGACACTCTGAATCAGAGATTGTGGTCAATATTTTCAGAATGCAGAACAGAAGCACTTGGAAAAGACATGGTCACAATCTAATTTTGCTTGTAGCTGGTGCTATGTTGTAAGTGTATGTATGTTCTGGCTCTGTCTGCTATTGGCAGTGAGTCTTGCAAATAAAATAAATATTAATAAGTTGATATTCCTATACTTTGTACAGATTCTATGAGCAGTGTTCCAAGAAATAATGAGTTTTGGATTTAAAATAAATCCTTAAATCAGCAATTTCCAACCTGTGATTCTGTGTAGTGCTGTTAACCCTGCTAAGAGATTTGCATGTTACATTACTCAAGTGCTATCCAATAATGTTCTCCGTGTTTTCCAGTATTTGGTTATTTGCTATAATCTACAGTTCTTGTAAACACTTCTAAATTTAATAGTTTTTATTTTTTAAACAAATGCTCCAGATAGTCATAATAAAGAGTAAAGAATATGAAAAAGGTTGAAAGTATTTAAAAACTAACTTCAAAAAAAAAAAAAAAATCCCATGAGCACAAAAAAAAAGACTAACCAGGGAGGGACAGAAAAAAAAAAAAACTAACTTCAGATTTTGAGAACTCCTGGCCACTCTGATTTCCTGTTTCTGCATCTCAGAGATTAATATCTGTCGGAAAACAATACTCCATGTTGTTGTTCCTCCAATAGAACTAATTACACACACACCAATCCACACACGCAGCAGCTCGCTGCTTCCTCTGCCTGGAAGGCAGCTTACCAGCCATTCATATGACTCACTTCCTCTCTTTCCTCAGGTGTCTGCTTCCTCAGGAGGGCCTTTCCCAACCACCCTATACAAAATAATAATCCCCATCTCCACACTCCCTACCTTCTGTCCCCTCAACCCTGCTTTACTTTTTTGTAAGCAGGAGAGATGCCATTAACAGTATTTGGATTCTGATTCCAAATAGCTGGATGATCTTCATGTTCCCAAGTTCTGGGTGAGCTTTTGTGGGCCACAATTTCTTAATTTGAAAAATGAGGTTGGACTAGTTTTGCAGGTCTTTACTGCACATTAGAATCACTTGAGGAGATTTCATAGCCTACTGATCCCAGGGCTATTTCTGAGATCAAATGAACCTGAAACGCTAGGGCTTCTCAAACTTTAACATGCAGATGAATCATGTAGGGATTCTGTTAAAATGCTGATTCAGTATCAGATAGGACCCAAGACTCTAACAGATTCCCAGATGAGCCAGTTTTACTGGTCCACCGACCATTCTTTTGAGTAGCTACGGCCTAGATAGTCTCCAAGTGCCCACAAATCCTTACATTCCATAAACAAAGGCCATTCTGTCTAGTTATTTTTGGTGACTACTGTTATTAAGAAGACAGTTTATTTCAGAGTTCTTGGGGATGTTGGAGGGGGCAGGGGGTACCTAAGAAAAAGCAGAGCTATGATCAGTGCATATGATTACTGGCATTTTCATTTTTTTAACTATCACTTTAAATATATATACAACATAAGATACATCTAAAACAAGTGAAAATAAAATTCAAGTTCAATAGAAAATTTGTCTCTTCACTGTTTGTAACCTTCTCACACTAAGTCCCCATTGATTATATTTTGCATAAAACTGATCTCATCTTGAATTGTTTTCTTTCTCTGTGTCATTCTCACTTTATTTACCTCCTGCTGCTTCTGATTTGCAAACTGCTGAGAGGCTGTGTGTGCCTTGAGGGCAACTTTAATAAATTGCATTTATCGTGGATTTGTTTTTAATTTGCTGAAACACTTCTTTGTCAGCTATTTCTGGTGACACCCTCAAAATAATTAACATTCAGATATGTCAGAGAGCAGCATATTTTTCTATGTTGTGTTTTCTGCAATTCTGTGTTCAAAAACCACAAGCATATTCTGGAAAGTGTTGTGCCTTTCAAAGTAATTCATAAATATTTCTACTAGAGTCAAGAAATTTTAAGCTAAAAATTTCCCTGGTGTCGTTCCAGGTTGGTGACATATGGCAGTGTTGGTTTTGGAGTTAGCTTTTGTTTGTGTTTTCAATCTCTCCATACTCTTGACAACCTCCTTCTGAGTGAAGTCATGTTTGAATGGATGAGCAAGAACCCACATTGTTTTCCATCTGGGCTCCAACTTACCATTCCAGCCTTATTGCCCCAATTTCCCTTTTCATACCATAAGCTTCAACCAAATGTAACAACATGCTAGGAGAAGGATCTCATTAAGCTTCATATGATAGATTCTACAAACTGGATTAAATGGCCATTTCTTCTGAACAGCAGTTAATTGCATGTTCCACTGGACAGTTCCCATCTCCTATGAGTCTATGCTTAGCATTATTTAAAAAACAAAAAAATTACACTTACTGAGTGTTTAGGATGTGCCTTAAATGCATCACTTCACTTCATTTCATCACATCCTATGAGCTGGTACTATTATTATCTAGATTTATAGTTAAGAAGCAGAGCACCAAAAGGGTAAGTAATTTTTCCCAGGTCATTCGGGAACTAACTGGTACTGGGATTCCAACCCAGGTTCTAGAGCCTTCTTTCTCTCAACTTCCTCACTGACCTGAATTCAAGAAAAGAGGTTATTTGTATCCACTAGATGGTGCTGACTGTCTTCTGTTAAAGAAAAAACCACAGGCACTCTCAGAAACTCCCACTTTCCTTGGATATCAGGTGTGATTTAAGAAACCACTGAACAAAATATCCTGTATGTTTGAACCGTGCCTGGGTGCATCTTTAAATAGCCATTCAAATAGGAAAAGTAGAAATTAGAGCTCAAAAAAACAGAATGGATTTTTAGAAATATCTTAGTACATATTATAAATATCTAATATCAAATAACCATTGGTGACTTTGAGACTGAAAGTTTTCACACATTTGTATTTATATAAAATTGGCAGACTTAAAAAGAAGTCCGTGATTTTTAGGGCTGTGAAACTATTCTGTATGATACTGTAAT